ATGCTCTGAATGTAAATCAGCTTAGCTTAGCCGCCCAGTCGCATCAACCCCCTGGCTGCTTCCCCCTCTCCCCCACCCCCTTTCCTCCTCCAACATCCTCAATCTCCAAAACTGGATCTCAGTAAGTCTATACACAGCTGTTCCCCTTCCACACCCCTGCGTTAGAACAATAAGCATCCCCTTCTCCTCCCCCCGTCCCCCCTCCTGCTCCTTTGCTTGTTATCCTCTTAGGAGCTATGGCTTCAGCAGCTCCCTTCGCATTACGCCAGCCAGCCGGCGGGAGGGGGGAGACAGGTTAGTCGTGAGTGAGTGTGTGTGTTTGTGTACATGCAATGTTGTCTACAATGGATGGATTTAGGTCTAGGTCAGGCCTACTGTCCTGTTGGTTTTCAATCCAACCCCAGTTGTAACTAACTGGTTCACCTTATCAACCAGCTAATTACTAGAATAAGGTGAGTTAGATTAGGATTGGAGCGAAAATGTACAGGATGGTAGCTCTCCAGGAACAGGGTTGGAGAGCCCTGGTCTAGGTCTTCTCAGTGCAGTATGTCTACAGGGCTCTCTGGATACTGCCTATGTACTATATGTTTGTGACTGTGTGGTGTGTATGTATTTTTATTTGTGTTAAATTGGTTGTTGAGTGAATGAATGTGACACTGTTTTAGTGAACATGTGAGTATGAGTTGGAGAGTGAGGCCTTGGTATACCCAGTCCACGTGAGCTGACCACTGTGTCTTTTTTGGGCTACGACTTTGTATGATGGTATTTTAATACCTGTGGTTAAATATAGCTCTTGAATAGAGAGGAGAGAGAGAGAGAGAACTCAAGAGAGAGAGAGAGAGTTTGGCTTTTACAGCACAGGTCAGAGAGAGCGAGAGAGAGGGAAAAGTACTTTTCTCCTATTTGATGTGTTTGGGGAGAATGCCAAATCTCAGTTGGTAATATACTGTATGCAAATGACACTAGCAGGAGCAATACCAGCTGGGGTGGATGGGAGTTCATGGTGATAAGTACTAGTAAAGACCACAGGGTATACAACACAATAATGTGTGGCATTTCAAACCATTAACCAATATCACAATGTAAACCCTGTTGGCCAGATACCCACACAATGTATGTATCCTCTATCTCATTATTTCTCTATAGACACACACAACTCTCTAAATGCTCCACAAACAGAAACACAGTAAGTATACAGACAGGCACACACATTTATCACGGGCCACTGCGGGCAGGGTGGTAGTGTGTGTGTGTGTGTGTGTGTGTGTACATTGGCCTTGCAGAGAGGAGATCTGCTGATGTGTGACAGGCAGTGGGCCCAGCTGATTGACAATAGACCACAGAGCATTCTGGGAAATAAGATAAGCCACAGTCCTGTCCCTGTGTGTCACTAATTTAGGGGATTGCGGACAGAGAGGGGGGAGGGGGGGAGAGAGCGAAAGACGAAGAGAGAGTCAGACTGTGAGAGAGAGCGAGAGAAAGAGAGGGACAGAGAGAAGGAGAGAGAACTTGATAGAGAGTAAGGGAGAGGGAGAGGGGGAGAGGGGGAGAAAAAGTAAATGTGTCAGAAAAAAAGAGTGACAGGGCAGTGGAAAACCACACAAACTTCTTACTCTGCTCCCCTCTTACTCTTTATCAGCCATCCCTGTATCACTCTCCATACTCTTCCATCCTTCTCAGTCCCTGTCCGTACTCTTCCATCAATCCCAGTCAGTTTCTATCTGAATCAATTTTTTGCCCCCATTCCTTTTCAGCCCCTCATCTGGCTCCTTCTCCCTCTCCCTATGTGTCCAGACAGACCTAACCTTAAATGAGCCCCAGAAAGCAGACTGGTCAAATGTGACACGTAGCCCACAGGGTCCCCTTCAGCCCCAGACAGACCAGACGGGCAGGACCAGACAGCTGTCAGTCAGTCAGTCACACAGGGCTGCCCAAGACTACAGGCAGACATATATCTCACCCAGCCACACTGTCAATCACACAACCTGGAGCCAGGCAGGCACACAGGGAAAAGAACAGCAGACAGGCACCCATAATGTTCTGGAAAGGCTGATTGTATACCTGAATCAACTCTGAACATATACCTGGCTTGACTCCCTGAGCATATGTGACTAGTTTCAGGAAACAAGGTGTATGTCTCGTGTCACTACTTCACAGGAGAGGCATTTTATCAAAATGCGTTTTTTGGCAGAAATGCCTTCTGACACGTGAACTTTCATGTACCTTAATAACAAACTTGTATGCCATCTGTAAATACAAATAAAATTGTTAAATTACGAGCCTAGTTGGTTTAGCCACGGAAAAAGACAGGAACCTTCCCGCTGGCCAAAAGAAAGACATGAACCTTCCCTCACTTTCTAGCTCTGAGTCTCTACTTTTATCCAATGTAAAAATAAAATACAATTTCAAATTTTGCTATATACTGTAAGACCGAATCGAGCCGGTCGGTCACATATATGTACCTAGCTGACACTCTGAACATACAACTGTCTCCCCTACAATCTGAGCATACTGATTACACAATAACCAAAAACTATTATAGCGCTAATGGCATACAGACACTACCTATGTATTTGGCTACTGTATGGTACATGTAGATCAGGCTTTTCTTGTTTGGATACTGTGCTTACTTAAGTACAAGCAGCTCAAGCCATTGATATAGAAATACAGGATTTTAATTATATTTCTATAGCTACTGCATTAGACAATTCTGAACTCCAGTATTATCATATCGAGGCACGCCCCCTAAACAGACAGACAGACAGACAGACAGACAGACAGACTAAGTAGTGCTATGGAGAGAATCCATGGAGGGAATAACACACCACAGTGACCCCAGCTCTGGTACTAGAGAGACTGGCCATATAGAGTTCACAGCTACAGTTGAAGTCGGAAGTTTACATACACTTAGGTTGGAGTCATTAAAACTCGTTTTTCAACCACTCCACAAATTTCTTGTTAACAAACTATAGTTTTGGCAAGTTGGTTAGGACATCTACTTTGTGCATGTCACAAGTAATTTTTCCAACAATTGTTTATAGACAGATTATTTCACTTATAATTCACTGTATCACAATTCCAGTGGGTCAGAAGTTTACATACACTAAGTTGACGGTGCCTTTAAACAGCTTGGAAAATTCCAGAAAATGATGTCATGGCTTTAGAAGGCTAATTGACATCATTTGAGTCAATTGGAGGTGTACCTGTGTATGTATTTAAAGGCCTACCTTCAAACTCAGTGCCTCTTTTCTTGACATCATGGGAAAATGAAAAGAAATCAGCCAAGACCTCAGAAATAAAATTGTAGACCTCCACAAGTCTGGTTCATCCTTGGGAGCAATTTACAAACGCCTGAAGGTACCACATTCATCTGTACAAACAATAGTATGCAAGTATAAACACCATGGGACCACGCAGCCGTCATACCGCTCAGGAAGGAGACGCGTTCTGTCTCCTAGAGATGAACATACTTTGGTGTGAAAAGTGCAAATCAATCCCAGAACAACAGCAAAGGACCTTGTGAAGATGCTGGAGGAAACGGGTACAAAAGTATCTATATCCACAGTAAAAACAAGTCCTATATCGACATAACCTGAAAGGCCGATCAGCAAGGAAGAAGCCACTGCTCCAAAACAGCCATAAAAAAGCCAGATTACGGTTTGCAACTGCACATGGGGACAAAGATCTTACTTTTTGGAGAAATGTCCTCTGGCCTGATTAAACAAAAAAACAACTGTTTGGCCATAATGACCATCGTTATGTTTGGAGGAAAAAGGGGGATGCTTGCAAGCCGAAGAACACCATCCCAACCGTGAAGCACAGGGGTGGCAGCATCATGCTGTGGGGGTGCTTTGCTGCAGGAGGGACTGGTGCACTTCACAAAATAGATGGCATCATGAGGAAGGAAAATTGTGGCTATATTGAAGCAACATCTCAAGACATCAGTCAGGAAGTTAAAGCGTGGTCGCAAATGGTTCTTCCAAATAGACAATGACCCCAAGTATACTTCCAAAGTTATGGCAAAATGGCTTAAGGACAACAAAGTCAAGATATTGGAGTGGCCATCATAAAGCCCTGACCTCAATCCTATAGAAAATGTGTAGGCAGAACTGAAAAAGCGTGTGCCAGCAAGGAGGCCTACAAACCTGACTCAGGTACACCAGCTCTGTCAGGAGGAATGGGCCAAAATTCACCCAACTTATTGTGGGAAGCTTGTGGAAGGCTACCCGAAATGTTTGACCCAAGTTAAACAATTTATAGGCAATGCTACCAAATACTAATTGAGTGTATGTAAACTTCTGACCCACTGGGAATGTGATGAAAGAAATAAAAGCTGAAATAAATTACATTTTAGCAGACGCTCTATCCAGAGCGACTTACAGTTAGTGAGTGCATACATTTTTTTTTTCATACTGGCCCCCTGTGGGAATCGAACCCACAACCCTGGCGTTGCAAGCGCCATGCTCTACCAACTGAGCTACACGGGGCATAAATCATTCTCTCTTCTATTATTCTGACATTTCACATTCTTAAAATAAAGTTAATTTTTACTAGGATTAAATGTCAGGAATTGTGAAAAACTGAGTTTAAATGTATTTGGCTAAGGTGAATGTAAACTTCCGACTTCAACTGTACATTCCTACAGTCACAGCCAGCATCATTTGCGTAAGAGGGAGAAGAGAGGCTACATGAGCCACAGAGAGATGGAGGGATGAAGAGAGGCTACATGAGCCAGAGAGAGATGGAGGGAGAAGAGAGGCTACATGAGCCAGAGAGAGATGGAGGGAGAAGAGAGGCTACATGAGCCAGAGAGAGATGGAGGGAGAAGAGAGGCTACATGAGCCAGAGAGAGATGGAGGGATGAAGAGAAGGCAAGAATTTGAAGTAGGAAAAGAGAGAGATGGGGAAGAGGAGAAGGTTTCAGAGATTCACATGGAGGAAAAGTGGCAGACGTGAGGGAAGGGAAGCAGAGATGAGGAGGGAGGGTGTGTCTCACCGTTGTAGGACAGGCGGGGCTTGCTTAGACACATGATGAAGTGCACCTCCATCTCATTAGATGCCACAGACTTGGAGCAGACAGGACACTTGAACCCTGTGGAGAAAGAGAGGGAGGATTGGTTAGACCTTAGTGTATTCATGTTACACTGGCTCTCTGGCTCTCACAGCAACCATCCAACTCACAACAGTGAATAAGTGAACCAAATGATCCTAGATTATTACAAACCACTGTTCCCAACTAGAATAGGGGCGCCACAAACAGTGGCATCAACCATGTACTCACATTGAATCACTCTGTCTGTCTGTGTCTCTCTATCTGTGTGTGTCTGTCTGTCTTTTCAAGTCAGTCCCCTTTGCATGTAATACAGACCTGCCTCTTATTCACTATGTAATAAACATGTAATAATCTGTAAAAATGATGAATGTTTACTGGCATATGAAAAGAGACTGCAGATGGAAATTAGCTATGTTGCTAAATCTGGTAAGATTTTTGTTGTGCATGGTCCCTGTCTATTTTAGCTATCTCTCTTACGATGTTTGTTTTCAGCTTTGTGCATATTACAGTATTAGCAAAGCAAATAAAAGGAGATTACATCAATTCCTGGCGTGGCTCTCTCTCCAGCCACATGAGTTGAGTTTTGCATCATGAACCCTCAATACTGCTTTAACACAGACACCAGTAGTGTTCAGATGGCTGCACCCAACACTTCACATTTACACAACTACCATAAACACAGACACCAGGGCTCTGTCCCAAATGGCACCCTAGTGCCTGTATAGTGCATGTCAAAAGTAGTGCACTACACATGGAATAGGGTGCCATTTGGGACGCAACCCAGTAGTGTTTCACTGGCTGCTGCACCAAACCCTGTACATTTCACAATTACCATCCCAGATCCACAGCAAAGGGCTGGACTCACCAGTCTTATAGTGCACAACAGCAGGCCATTATCACGTTGGTCATTAAACCACTCAGTCCAGGGACCACGCTGTGCTGTGTGTACATTGCCAAAAAAAAGCTCAGCTGTACTAAAATCAGCTGGTTTTTGGTCCAATGATAACTATGCAGTCATAGAGGTTGTTGCTATTCATTCCTCGTTACGTATTTTCTCTTTATTCAGACATTATTGAAAGTAGATGTTGGGATACAGGTAGAGGAGAAACCGCATGAACGTGTCGGGTGGGTTTTATACCCATATCGTTCATGTATACTTGGGAGACTGCAGCACTATCGCTGCTCCACGCTCCCGCACCAGAATGTGTGTTTTAATGTTAATGTTAAGTCAATATTTATTTATTCCCTCAGTGGGATCAGAGTCTAAACTCTTACTTTGAGGCTTGTCTGGTTGGTCTGAGTCTGTCTGGGGTTCACTATAGAGAGCATAATGCAATAATCAGCCAGACCAGCACAGTGAGGAGAAGAGATGGAGAGATGGATGAAGAAACGCCGTAAAGGTCTAGAGCTGAAGTGAATGAGACAGCTTTATAAATGAGAGTAAGGGGGAGCTTGAAAGATACAGCAAGTGTGACAAAGGGATGAGGGTGGGATTGATAGATAGAGGGAGGGAGGAAGTAAGAAAGATAAAAGTAAACCTAGTCAGTAAACCGAAGCCCCCCCCTTGACAGCTGACCCACTTTTCCCCTGGCTGCTATTTTCAGCCCTTACTTAGGGACAGACAGAGAGAGGGATGAAAGAAATGTGGGAAAAAAGAGAGGTGCAGAAGAAAGGTAGAGTGAGGACTTTCTATGAGAGATGGTTGGATGTGATGGACAGAGACAGCCCATGGATCACCTCCCAGAAGGCAAGAGGCCAAAGAGGCCCTTTCTGTAAATGGCAAAGCAAACAGTATATGGCAGCATCTCTATGACCATTTCAATTATCAAAGAAGTGTTCAAACAGAGTTCACATGACGATACTGTGGACCTTTTACCCACTTATAATGGAATGGAAATAATGCTAATTTACCCTTTCCTATCTCAGTCACAGACTTTTGGCCATTTTCTCTCACTGAATATAGGTGTCTCTCTCATGTGTGTGTGTGTGTGTGTGTGTGTGTGTGTGTGTGTGTGTGTGTGTGTGTGTGTGTGCGCGCGCCCGTGTGTGAACATACTGTAACTGAGAAATACCACTCTTTGCTTGGAACAACTTAGTACGACTTCCAGGGTGGTGCTGGGAACTGAAGTTTACAGTAAATCATGAGGGATTGATTGTTTTCTAGGAAATTGTGAGGTCAAATAGTGACAATTAAAGTAAATCACAAGACTGCAGGAAAACATAAGCAAACAAAGATATTCCCTACAGTGAACACAGTGTGTGTCATGAACACAGAGCTGGCCCTTTATCAAACCACTAACAAGACATACTTCATACTGGCAGAGAGAGCACAAATATCAACACAATACAATGTCCCAACCTGAAACTAACCACCACAGCAGATTCATCATACTCTTACTAAGTAATAGTAAAGCCACTGTTTACTAACCCTGAACAATGTACAGTATAGATGTCACACTGTATAGATATCAAGCCATTGGTATAGGCCTAGTAACTATGGAGTGGGCATGCTCTGTTTCTGCAGAAGTGAAATAGAGCCGTCACACCGTGCTTCTGTTAAAGTGTCCCATGGCGCCACTCCACAAAGCCGACACATTTCTCAACCCGAGCCGACTGACTCAATCTTTACTCCATGCATTTTTTATGATACCTCTGCAGTCCTGCCCCATTCCCCATGGTCAATGATAAAGAATTACAAAAATACTTGTGTCTCGGAAGCTCATAAAATGTCCATGACTGGCCACCAGCATTATGATAGCTTCTTTCCTTATGATCATTACCCCCTCGATATTTGCCCCCCCTTCTTCAGAAGCGCTTAAAATGTGAATAACTGTGATTTGAGGGTAAATTGTGAACATTAACCCCCCCCCCCACATGTGGTTTACATTGGTTTGTAAACCACACTCCGACTGAATCAATACAACAAGTTATCACAGTCTCACTGCAGTATTAGACGTTTTCTCACTTTTCTCCAAATGTCAAATTTTGAAGTTGCTCCAAACGTCACATTTTTTAAGTCAATCGATAGTAAGGCAATGGCTAGTAAGGCAAGGTCCTGCATCTGACATAATCTTTCACTCATGTGGCACAAACACCACTGCGTAATTACAATTAAAATACTGCCTAATCAACTAATTTACTCCATAGGCCAAAACTGTGAATCCCTCTTCTCATTCAAGGACAAATGTTAGCCAGATGAACTTCGGACTGAAACTTCAACTGGAAAACAAGGAAGGAAATGCATTGATAGTTTTCTGGTTTCGAATGAATAAAGTATTCACTTTCAGACCTTAGTTTCCAGATGTTCCCAAATACCTTCATCATGACACATCCTCAGCTTCCAAGCCAACATACTATTTTCATTAATTGTAGCAATTCATTTAGACAAATGTTCTGCTTCTATCTTGAGCTTGTCTTCACTTTATAGCAATCTGTACACTTCATGAATCATGCATCTCTAGTTAAAGCAATTCCGTGTTATATCCTCAAGCATTCTGCATAAATGATATATAATATTTGATGGTTGATATAGATTAGAATATCATAAAATAACATGTATTAGATCAAAGGAGTCCGTTTCAGTGGGTTTAAAATCCATGGATGCCTACCCATATTTTTCTCAGTCGGAGCTCGCTTTTTCTGAGTTCCCAGTTATCTTTAACGCACTGAAGTCAGAAGTTGGAGATTTCTAAATTCAGAGTTCCCAGTTGTTTTGAACACAGCAATAATCCCAACTATGGCTGTTATGGTGACCGTATTACCGCCACACCGGCGGTCACGAGTCATGATGGCAGTCAAATTCCATGTGACCGTTAAGTCACGTTAATTATGCTTCTCCAAGCTCTGATGCTGCTGATGGTCATTAGTAGCCTACCAAACTTGCTAACTGCCTGGTACTCAGCACTCTATTGTCCCTCTAATCACTCTGACATCAATGCAAACATAATAAAAAATCTAATCAAACACTTCATGAGAGCCTGTGAGCTCATATTGCGCAACATTTCTATAGGCTATACAATTGCAAGAGAAACAGATTATACACGTAACGTTAGCTAGCATACCAGCCAGCTAACGTTAGCTAGCTAGCTAACAGTATGCTTTAACTTGCAATGAAAATGACTTTCTGACAAAATTAGAGACTGCTGTAGCTGAAAGGATTACCTACACATACTGAGCAGCTCATGTTATAGACCAAAGCATGCTACATGGCAGGCCAATCCGAACTCATCTCTCAGCATGTCCAGCCCATCCATTATCTCAGCCAATCATGGTTGTCTTTTTCCGTGGCTAAACCAACTAGGCTCGTAATTTAACCATTTTATTCGTATTTACAGATCGCATACAAGTTTGTTATTAAGGCCCAGAAGGCATTTCTCCCAAAAAACGCATTTTGATAACAAATAAATGTTAACGTTCAAATGCCTCTCCTGTGAAGTAGTGACATGCGACATACGCCTAGCTTCCTGAAACAAGTCACATTTATAAACACATTATAATGCACAAAACTCAAATATCATCAGCTAGTCCTGACTGAATTTTCCCCTACATTCTAAATGACATTCCACCGGATCAGTCCTTCCTCAGAGAATCATGTAGGGGAGCGATGAAGAAGGGAAGAGAGGAGAGGCGGTATGGTGGTAGATGGCCAGACATAAACTCAGTGACACAGCACTGAGAGATTCAGGAGTAGCGTTATGAACAGTGCAGAGAGGCAGGCAGACAGACAGAGCATTCATCCCAAATGGCACCCTATTCCTTATATAGTGCACTACTTCAACCAGAGCCCTATTGGTCGAGGTCAAAAGTAGTGCACTATATGGGAAACAGGGTGCCATTTGGGATGCAGACAGAGATAAGTCACCATTAAAGGTACAGATCGGAAGTCTGTGGCTGCCTCTAGCTCCTGCTCCAATCAAATGGCAAGCAGGCAGTGTTACAGCTAGCTCCCTGTAATACCCTGCTGTCTAGAAAGCCTCTGTCTCTCAGAAGAATAAACACCTTGCTGTTTCTTGCCCTCTTTCTGTCAGGTCAAGGACATCACTTGTTTACTGTCTATCACAGGTCATTAGACTAGACAACATGGATAAGCTTATTAAATGAGTGACCTTGTTTGTTTGTGTATGCCTGTGTGTATCTTCTTTCCACGTGTCTGGGCTGGTTGTCCCTCTAATACTGATACTAAACGCTGGAGTGTATGAGCATGTCTAGAGACCTGTTTAGTCCAGAATACAGGACATTATGCCCATACATGGATAGTAGCCATTTGATTACATCACATTCAACTCAATCGCAACTCAGACAACTCTTTACCTTACCGGAAAGAACAGCAGTTTCCATGGAAACAGCTGAATGAGAGAGGTAAAGACTTGGAGAGGGAAAGGGGGAGGAGAGTGCCGTGAGAGAGACATACTGACCTATTGTTGTGTTCCTCGCTAAACTCTTTGATTGCAGGAGGGAATGTGGCCTTAGATACAGGTGAAATGGGGTGTAGAGTGTGGGTAGGAGGGAGGTGTGTAATGGCAGTGGGGTGTATTGTGTGGGAGAGACTAGGGTATCATTACACAGTGAATGAGACAGTATGGGCTGCTTTGCTGTGGTGGGAAGCACTGGGAAACGATGTGATTTAGGTTTGTGATGCTTAATGACATAGAAAGCATTCTGTGATCAGTGTGATGCTTGCTATACAGTGGCATCATCTGCGTTTTGATTGACAGGGGCTAATGCCCCCTGCTACTGAAGTCAAAGGTTTATCTATAGAAAGTCTCTGCTGTATGATGACATGATTTAGTCCCTGCACCATGGCAACGGTTGCCACTGCCTTTGCCTTAGCCCCCGGCCCACTGTCCTTCTAATTGGCCAGAAGTTTGCACTTGTGGCGTCCTTTTATTAGAAAGGTCTGCCGGCTGTCACTCAACAACAGACTGGCTGTGAAACACTTGTGACAGGAAGTTTGTCAGAGGAACATGTCAAGCCTCTCTCTCCCTCTCTCTGTTTCTTCCCTCTCTCCCTCCTTTCCTCCATCTCTCCCTCCCTCCCTTCTTCCCTCTCTCCCTCCCTCGTCCTCTGCGTCTGGATGAAATGAGTGTGTGAGGATATTGTGGGGGTGGTAAGGAGCAAACAAGTGTACATCTTGAAAATAGCAGTGACAAGAAACGTGGTTGTCACAGATGCAGCAACAGAAACCCCTCCCTTAGCCATCCAGTGTAGAGTGTGTGTGTGTGTGTGTGTGTGTGTGTGTGTGTGTGTGTGTGTGTGTGTCTTTCGGCGTCTGTGTACACTGTGCTGAGCTAATGGGAGAAAAGAGAGAGAGAGATAGAGAAAGAGAGTGTGTGAGGGGAAGGGAAAACATAAATAAATTGAGAATGACCTATATTGTTGAATTCCGCTGCCAGACAGTTCAGCACAGATGTTCAGATGTTCAGTTCAGCACATCCCATCATTCCTAAAAGACTTGCCACTAAAACCCAGCCACAACATTGTGCGTCTACAGTAGTATAGGTGTGTATGTGTTCATGTGTGTTATCATCCTCATTATTTACATTTAAATTTAAATGGCGGTGTACACAAGTGAATGATTGCTTATGGCTCTAATCTTAGAACAATTACATTGGCTTCTGCTCAAAGAGTTCAGTCAGTGCCTCTGCTCTGCTCAAATCGGTGAGTGATTACTTAGCTCTGTGATGGGTGAGTGAGCACCGTGGGTCTATCACAGGAGGAGAGATTACACAGACCATTGCTAAAGGGTCTCTAATCTGAGAGTGCATAACAACAACAGTAGGTGAGCAATTTACTAAGTGACAATGTAGACAGGACTCTGTTCAGGAACTGCATCAGTAGAGGGAGGCTTTCCTCAGTGTTGTTTACTGTTTGCAGCTGGATCAAACAGTTGGCTATCAGAAGGAGGTTTCCTGTCAGGAATCAGACTAATCAGGCTGTCATACACTATTAATAAGAGTATTAATGCAGTATCAATGAGGCTGCAGGGAAAAGGGCAGGCCCAAACAGCCCAGTTGGTAAAGATCAGAAGGCTCTGTAATATTTGTAATGCTTAAAGCCTAAGAAGTACAGTATACCCCATTGTCAAAGGGGATTTTTGATGTGACCTTCTGTCAGACTATGGGTTTTAAAGTATGAATTACATTGTTTATTATGCAGCAGAACTGTCTACTGTCTACCTACCATGGTGGTACCTCACCAGCGTCTTTCATGCTTTGCAGACTGTCAGTACTGTTTCTAGTTTGACAAATCAATTGAAGGCAACAAGATGTCTGACCAATGCTCCACTGTGATAAGAGAGGCTCCAAAAATATATATTTTTAATGGTTCTATCAATCAATTCTGCAATTCCACAGTCAAATCCATACTATGATAGGAGTGTGACCATACCAGACTGGAGAGTTTGAAATTGATAGAATTTAAGATGTGGTGTCTCTGTCTGAAAACTTGCTTCATCAGAGAAATGACATGGAGCTCAGAAGGGCGTTATTGGAAATCTTTAATACTGTTTGTCTAGAATGGACCAGTGTAAGGCAGTATAGGCATAAGCCTACATACTGTAGGAAGGACTTCACTTTTCAATCCTCATCGATAGTCGATGAATCTGAAACCTGAATACATTCACCCCCCACCACCCCCACTCCCTCACCACTTCCCAAGGGCACTTGACAGAGGCACCTGTGATCAGCCTTATTAACAGCCATTTTACAGAGAGGGCAGAAAAAAGCAAAGAGAGACTCCATGTCTTGAAAACAGGGCTGAATTATGTACCTGAAGCAGGACCATAGCCTTATCCTTTATGCCCTGCTCACAGGGAGCTTCTCAGTCATAAAAAGGAACAGCAGGGTCGCCTAGCGATAAAAGGCAAACAGTCTGGATGTTGACGCCTGACTTTCCCTCCTGTGGGTTTAAGGTTTGGGCTTTGGTAATGAGTGCCTGGGGACCTGAGCCAGTGTCGTCAGTATTCTGCAGCTCAGGCCCTGACAAGCCCAGTCAGTGAGACATATTGTGGTCTGAGGTAAGCAGATGATAACTGTGCCCCCCCCCCCACACACACACTTCTCCTCTCTAATCATAAGCTTGACTGAGCCAGATTTGGCAACATGGCTTATTAGTGTCATTTCTCACAACAAGGTATTGGAGACAACCTGAGATGCATAAGGTCAGACACGCAACAAACCCCTGATTAACTGCCCTGATGTATGCACATGCACACAAGCACATGCACACACACACACAAACACACAAGCACACACACTAATTCATGAATTAAGTTCCATGGATGACAGGGAAGTTTGCTGATGACATCTAGGCCTAATATCATTGCATCCCTCTGTAATCCCTGATAACATGGATGTGTGCAGCCAGCCATGGGTGACTGTGTTGATACTTACCACTGTGGGCGCTAAACCACCGGGGTGCAATGTGCAGGGGCAAGGTGTCTGCCAACGACCCTCGGGAGCCCAGATAGAGCATACCGTCCGTGTGATGGCCGCCGCCCGTTTCCTGGTAGCCGTTACCATGGGCGGCGTTAGTGCCAGACCCCCCTCCAGCTCTATCCGAGTCTGTTCCTCTGGGGGTATAAAACCCAAAGGGCACCGTAGGACTATGTTCTATGCCCATCCCAGCCACAGAACTCACTGAGCGGCTGCGTAACCCCATTGTGCCACTTGGTCGGTAGTGCCCAAAGTGGGCCGAGGGTGGCACTGCGCTGTCATCCGCCGAGACACCGTGAAAAGCACCCCGGGGCCGCCCTGCCGTACTCTGCTTGCCCCCCATCCAAATCACCCGATACAAATGGGTGGGGGCTGTTGAAACGGGGCTCCGCAGAGAGTCGAGAGCCGTCACTGGAATCACCCCCGACACGCCTGTCTGCAGTGGATTTGATCGCCCCTTGCCAGGGACAAAACGGCACCTTAAAAAAATCCCGGTTGTCAAATCTGACTAAAGCAGCTGTGTATAACAGACGCAACAGCCCATTTCCCTGACCGGAACATGAGCGACTCGAATGTTTTGATTCAGCTCAACCGAGAAAAACGAGAATTTATAAGAGGATGATGTCAAATTAATAACAGAAAAACAATTTCCCCCGATAAAGATAAGCAAAACGTTTTCCCCTCACAGCGAATGACAGGACAGCCTGCTCCAAATCACAACAGGGATGATGACAAGCACAAAGCGCAACAACGGTTCCGACAGTCGCGCTTCTCTGCAGTAGCCTAGGCTACCCCCCTTTTAATGTTATTATGTTTGTCTTGAAGACTGGTTCAGCTGATCATAACCATAGCCATGACAACTGTTGCTGTCTGCCTGCCAGTCTGTCTTTCCAACGACGTACGTGTGACCGGGTCCGCTTGTTCTCCGGTTCCCGGAGATTCGGGTCAATGTATGCCGCTCCCCTGCATTCTCATATCCGCGCGCTCGCTCTCACTCCTTGCTGCTGGTAGACAATGGAGGCGTTCAGTGCGCATACTCGGATTAACAATGTAAAGCGTGTGAAGAGGGAATATACAGTAGTCTATGTATATTCTTAATCACGAGGAATTGATTCAAATATTGTCCTCATTGTCTGTCTATCTTCTAAAAATCCAATGAAGGCGTTTGTCTGGCTCGCCCCAGGCTACCATGTCAGACGAATGCAGTGTGAGCAGAGGACAGAGATTGATATGAACTAGTAACGCTGTCATAACCAAGTTAACATGCAGATGGCACAGCATTCACATTTTTTACCATATGCTGAATTAATGAGATTATTGACTAATGACAATTAGCAGCTTAGAGGTATTTCCCCCAAATAGGCCTACTTGTTATTGGCATGAATTTATCACACAATTACCATACAACTGTTTATTACTGTTCTTAAACTATAAATAAAAAAACAATAAACACTATTAACCATTAACAAACCCTTTATAAACGGTACCTACATGTAAATTATTACTGCCGCTGTTTGCTATTAATTAGAACTATTAATCATGCATGCATCAAAGTTTAAAGACAAATGATATACCATGAAACACATCAAGTGTGTGTGTGTGTGTTATTTTATTATTTGGTGTGTGTGTGTATTTTATTATTTGGCGTGGGTGTGCCGTTGTGCCACGAAACACATCGTGTGTGTGTGTGTGGAATGTATTAGTGTGATGAGGATGATCTCTTTGATTTAGGCTAATGAGCAGGTTTGCATGACAGCCCAGTCAGGTGTGACAGACACCTGTCACTCCCATTCACTCCTGCAGAATAAAGCCAGTCTAACTCACAGTTTCTCAGATTCTCATATCTCAGGTCAAATAACCCAATTCAGGACATCATTGTTGATGTATAGTCATTGCTGCTGCATTAAACATACACACACAGAGAGACATACAGGCACACACACGAGCACTCACTCTCACACACACGCACACAACAGCCAATTCGGATGGGACATTAAACGGGTGTCCGGGATCTCTGTGGTCACTAAAGATCCCATATCACTTATTGTAAGAGTAGGGGTGTTAACCCCGGTGTCCTGGCTAAATTCTCAATCTGTCCCTCATACCATCATGGCCACCTAATCATCCCCAGCTTCCAATTGGCTCATTCAATCATCCCTCCTCCTCTCCCTTGTAACTATTGCCCAGGTCATTGCTGTAAATGAGAATGTGTTCTCAGTCAACTTACCTGTTAAAATAAGAGTAAAACAAATAAAAACAATTAGGTAAATCTACCAACTTCTTTTTAAGAAGGGGCAATTCCATGGTAACAGAATGATGCTGAGACTAAAAAAAAAAGCACATTAAAATGTATGTCAAAATGCAGATGCAAAGTTTGGTAACAGAATCAGGGCACTAACAGCACAACCCATCATTCTGTTACCAAACGTTGAATCTGCACGGCTCTTCAAGAAAATGTGATTTTGTAAAATCTTCTGTGGAAATTGTTAAAAGTAGTCCTTGTGCATAGAGTGATGTATATTCTTTTATACATTAGAAGATAGAACTGGGTTAATCACGAACATTGAGTTAGAATTGTTTGTTACTGGGCTAGGAATATTATTGGGGCATTTCACTGTGTGTGTGGGGGAGCAGAGAGAAACTGCCCTAGGGTCAAAGTGCTTGCTCTTACTTGAATCCATGGCTGCCTTTTGTCTCTCTCTTCAAACATAGTGAAGGGTGCGGCACCAGGGTTGAATAGAGTTTGGGCTAGACCTTTGTCTCCTTGGTATCTTCTTGATTGATTACAGCTTGAGGGGGTGAGGTACAGGGGAGCGGGTGATTGGTTGGAGTAATAGTTCAGCCGTCCTCAGGGACAGAGGAAGTGGGCGGAGTGATAAAGAGCGGGAAACCGAAGAGGGAGGGATTTAGAGCTAGAAGAGTTGGGGAAAATGGTATATAATGGGACGTGAGGAAAACAGAAGGGTGTGCCCCTCTGCAGACGGGTATCGGCTTTGTTGAAAACTTTAATAAAAAGTCATTTCTTGATGCAACAAAAACTCTGTAAGACGTTATTTGTAATAAAGTATGGTGGTTATTTTCCACAACAAGAGTTGTATGGGTGGCAGGTAGCTTAGTGGTTAAGAGCGTTGTGCCAGTATCCGAAAGGTCGCTGGTTCTAATCCCCGAGCCGACTAGGTGAAAAATCTGTCGATGTGCCCTTGAGCAAGGCACTTAGCCCTAATTGCTCCTGTATGTCACTCTGGATAAGAGCGTCTGCTAAATGACTAATAATAATAATAATGGTTTGTTTAACCTTGCAATCATTGGTTTTTGTTTGACATACATTTTAAAGTGAAAAATCTGAGTCTGAGCATCATTCTGTTATCATGGAATGGCCCAAAGGTAGCCCAACCGGCAGCAAGATGGTGCTATTATTCCTATTTAAGTTGTTTGTCGGTTGTTGTTTTGATTAAATTCTATTAGTTTTTTTTGTGTGCCAAAATTATACTAGCATACTCCTGTCTGAACATACATTAATAAAATAATTCAAAATACTACACCAGAGAGCATCATTTAGCCACAGAGGATCAATAGCTTCTAAAAAATACCTGTGGATTAAGTTTTATTGCAAGCACTTACTGTCATGAAGGCTGGAAGTTGGGCAGCGCGCATGCCAAATATAGAACAGTTTGTTGCATTGTGGCCATAGACATATAATCCATAGAAGGATTTTAGAACCTCTAACCCCGGCACTTTGACTGTTAAACTCATGGGTACCCTAGAAATGGTTGCCAATCCTGATTTTAATGGAAACGGCATCTATGGAATATATTTCTATGGTTGGTTGTGGCTGTCAATTTCAAAATACAATCACAAGACAAACGTAGGCATACCGTTTGGAAAGCAAATGCCTACTGCTAAAAATACATTACTAATCTGTCTGTAGAAGCTAAACACAACTTTTGAGCGTTTCTGAGCTAACAGCACTATTTTTCAAAGTAGTTTATTTTAAGATAGGCTATTGATTGCCACGACGCATCGGCCATGACAGGTGAGTAGCCTTTATCTTCATCATAGGGTGAGTCAGTGTCACTGGAAAGTTTATTTTGTAGCCTATAATAAATATATATATATATATATATATATATATATATATATATATATATATATAAACAATTGAAGTCGGAAGTTTACATACACTTAGGTTGGAGTCATTAAAACTCGTTTTTCAACCACTCCACAAATTTCTTGTTAACAAACTATAGTTTTGGCAAGTCGGTTAGGACATTTACTTCGTGCATGACACAAGTAATTTTTCCAACAATTTTGACACAAGTTAAACAATTTAAAGGCAATGCTACCAAATACTAATTGAGTATATGTAAACTTCTGACCCACTGGGAATGTGAAGAAAGAAATTAAAGCTGAAATAAATCATTCTCTCTACTATTATTCTGACATTTCACATTCTTAAAATAAAGTGGTGATCCTAACTGACCTAAGACAGGGAATTTTTACTAGGATTAAATGTAAAGAATTGTGAAAAACTGAGTTTAAATGTATTTGGCTAAGGTGTATGTAAACTTCCGACTTCAACTGTTTATACACTACCAGTCAAAAGTTTGGACACACCTACTCATTCAAGGGTTTTTCTTTATTTTTACATTGTAGAATGTAACACATATGGAATCATGTAGTAACCAAAAAAGTGTTAAACAAATCAAAAATATATTTTCTATTTGAGATTCTTCAAATAGCCACCCTTTGCCTTGATGACAGCTTTGCACACTCTTGGCATTCTCTCAACCAGCTTCACCTGGAATGCTTTTCCAACAGTCTTGAAGAAGTTCCCACATACGCTGAGCACTTGTTGGCTGCTTTTCCTTCACTCTGCCGTCCGACTCATCCCAAACCATCTCAATTGGGTTGAGGTCGGGGGATTGTGAAGGCCAGGTAATCTGATGCAGCACTCCATCACTCTCCTTCTTGGTAAAATAGCCCTTACACAGCCTGGAGGTGTGTTGGGTCATTGTCCTGTTGAAAAACAAATGATAGTCCCACTAAGCCCAAACCAGATGGGATGGCGTATCTCTGCAGAATGCTGTGTTAGCCATGCTGGATAATGTGCCTTGAATTCTAAATAAATCACAGACAGTGTCACCAGCAAAGCACCGCTCCGTGATGTCATCTCCTATCACAGAACCATTGTTTTTAGTTCCCATAACGGTGACTGGTAATTCCTTCTCTTCAATCTCTACTGCAGTGATAGATTCCGGATCAGCAGGGAACCTTATAGATGGGGAGCTGGTCTCTGAATGGGGGTTGCCCACCGTGCCACTGCCATCTCCGCTACATGGTCACCTCACTGGACAATAAACCCCTTGGATCAGGCACCATTACGCACGTCACTCTCCCCATCACCATCACCATTCCCACACTACCGGAGCACCACATGGAGCTGTCATTCCACATTGTCACGTCACCCCTTCACTGGAT